AAAACTGCTCAAAAAATATTTTCCATGTGAATAAAAAATGATAAATTTAATACTGATACATATTGTGAATATTTTAAAAATGTTTATTTCTCTCCAAAAAAAAATATTGAAAAAAATTGTTAACAAGTAAGTTTGTTTATCACTCTCTTATACATATACAAATTACTTCTACAAATATATCTATCAGTGAAACTATAGTTTTGGGAAGTCACTCCCGAGAAAAAATATTTATATATAATTATATATATTTATATATAATTATATATGGAACAATATATAATTCTGCATGGCTGTATATTGCTTCATATATAGTCATATCTAATTATATATGATTATATATAACCTAACATTCAATTCCATATATAATCATGTATGATTTTATATAATTATATATGATTATATATGGAGCAATATACAGCCATGCAAGATTATACATAGTCCCATATCTAATTATATATAAGTATATATAATTATATATGCTTATATATAATTAACATATATAAAAATTTTTTCTTTGAAAAAAAATTTTTTTTTGGTAATTACGAAAAGTGTAAAATGATGTTTATAATTACGTTTACATAATTCTGAAATACAAAATTTGTCATATTTTCTATGAGATGTTTTGTCTGCTCTGCCCCTACGTAATAGTAAAATCATTATTTATTTTATGAATAGTTTATTAAAATAAATTAATTATGAACTATGACTATTCAAATATATTATAAAATCAATTTTTATATTATATTTAAGATAAACTCATATGATGCATTAAGTAGATCATAGAATCATTATTGTCTAAAATAGCAGCATAGCAGATAGAAACTTCAAGACGCACGGAGATCACCACAGTTAAGCAGCATTGAGTAGGGTTATTAGTTGGATGGGTGACCGCTGGTGTTATAGCCATAAAATTAGATCTAGATATTTTTTTTGCATTTTGATCAGTTATACAGAATTGCGTAGGACCATATTAAATACTCTATCCGTAAAATTAACCCAATAATTAATTAGATGTAATAAATCTATAATTAAATATTGTTATATATAGTTATATATAATTATACATAATTATATATAATTAGATATGATTATATTTGGCTATTTTTCATATATAATCATATATAACCAATTTATATATAAATATATATAATTATATATAAATATTTTTTCTCGGGCTAGTGAATCTGGTTGCAATCTCTGGTTCAGGATCCTCTCCAGCTCTTCACGCTGTGGGTCGAAACGAGGACATACAAAGAAGACGTGCTCCGCATCTTCAGCAACTCCTGGGCAGGTCGGGCACTCCGAAGAGTCATCGTGCTTGAAGCGGTGTAGATACTCTCGGAAACACCCATGTCCCGACAACATCTGCGTAAGATAGTAATTGACCTCACCGTGATTCCGGTTAAGCCAAATGTCGATCTTCGGTATGAGACGGTGTGTCCATCTTCCTGTTGTCGCGGCGTCCCACTGCGATTGCCATCGTGCAATGCTGTTTTGCCGTTCTTCAGCTCTGAGTTCCTCGGCACTTAGTGTGGTTGACCTCTTTCGTTGGTAAAGGTTCCGTCTTTCCTCAGCTAGAATTCTGAGCGGTAGAGTTCCTGTGTGTGTGTGTGTGTGTGTGTGTGTGTGTGTGTGTGTGTGTGTGTGTGTGTATGTATGTATGTATGTAAACCTCTTATAACTTTTGATCGGCTCGGCCGATCGGATCGAAATAGGTGGCGATCCAAAGAGTATCATTGCCATTAATTTTCGTGAAAATTTGAATCGATTCGGTTCGCTAGATTTTGAGAAATCTCAAAAACAAAATTTTCGAAAAATGGTTTTTTTGTAATAACTTTTAAACGGCTTCACTAACCACTTCCAAAAACTTATCAGCTCTTAGCCTTGAAAAACCACGTCGATCATCGTTGGACCGGTCAAAATTGGTTGATTCGTTCGTGAGATATCGAAAACGAAAAATTTCAAAAAAAATATTTTTTCAAAAAATATCTTAAATAGCTTCACCGATCACTTCCAAAAACTAATAAGCTCTTAACTATGAAAAACCACGTCGATCACCGTTGGATCGGTCAAAATCGGTTGATTCGTTCGTGAAATATCGAAAACGAAAAATTTCAAAAAAAATGTTTTTTCAAAAAATCTCTTAAATAGCTTCACCGATCACTTCCAAAAACTAATCAGCTCTTAAACTTGAAAAGATACGTCGATCGCTGTTGGACCGGTTAAACCACGTCAATTGCTACCAGTCCTATCAAAATCGGTTGATTCGTTCGAGAGTTATCGAAAACGAAAAATTTTGAAAAAAAGTGTTTTTTTCACATAACGTCGAGATTTCTTTTTGGCTCATTTTTGACGAAATATAATAATTATAAGAGCCCAAAAAATCACGTCGATCGTTACCAAGAACGTGAAAATTGGTTGATTGGCTCGTGAGTTATCGTTGTCGAAAAAATTCGGAAAAAGTGAATTTTTCAAATTTCTCTAAGATTTTCGGTTCGATCAGTTTGTGTTCAAAAGTATATCATAGATTCTGACAAAGTGCGTGGAATACTGCCAATCACGTGAAAATCGATTCATTCATTTAGAAATTATTGCAGTTTAAAAATTCAAAAAATACTGTTTCATTAAACTTCTCGAAGAGCTCAAAAGCATACAAAAGCTATTTCTTTGAGCTCGGAGAGCTCAAAATAATACACAAATTGTATTTTTGAGCTCGAAGAGCTCAGAAACGTCATAAGTGCAATCTCAAGCGTTTAGGTATGGAACTGGCGGGAAGTTGCAGGGATGGCCTTGAGGGTCAACCGTTTTCCAGATTTTTTTTTTTTGAAAGTGATTTTTTTGGCATAACTTTTAAACGACTCTATCGATCAACTCCAGAAACTAATCCGCCCTTAAGCTTGAAAAACTACATCGATCGCCACTAATCCGGTTAAAATCAATTAATTCGTTCGAGAGATATCGTGAACGAAAGAAAACCGAAAAGTGTTTTTTTCACATAACTACGACATTTCTTTTCGGATCGTTTTTGATCGAATAGAATAATTTTTAGAGCTCATAAAACCGCGTCGATCGCCGCCAAGAACGTTGAAATCGGTTGATTTGTTCGAGAGATATCGTCGACGAAATATTTGGAAACAAGTCATTTTTTGTTATACTCGCGCCAGAAGCCCAACTTTTGAGCGCTGGGTGGCGTTCGTAAAGGGACTCTTTTCTAGAGACTCTACCATATCGTCTTTTTTTCACGGCCTAGGCCGTGAAGTTTTACTCCCTCCTTTTTTTTACGAATTTTTCATGTACACCCAGACGAAATTGAGAGATTATAAAAAAAGTCACATTCTAGAGTACCGACCGTTAATTTTTAGTCTTAGTTAGTATTGAGTGGCGCTAATTATTTCTCTGCTGGCAGTTTATTACGAAGCGGACCTAATGTTAAAAAAATAACAACGCCATAAATAAATACTAATAAAAAGTTATTTACATTTTCTTGACGTAAGCAAGATTTTAAGATTAATAGAAAGATAATTAATATAAAATTAATTTTTTTTGCCCTTGTGAAACTTCATAAAATTTGAATATGTCATTATTTGCCTCCTATCCCTTAAAAGTTAAACTTATGGAGCGATAATAACAAAAAATATTGTATGTCATTTGGCCGTTTAGTGGCAATTTTGACGACTTTTTTTCGATATTCGCTTTAGTGTTTGTGACGCGAATGTTCGGAAACGAGCGTAAATTTCCGTTAAAATTACGCCCGTTTCGAACCTTCCCGCCACAAACCTTAAGCTCATATCGAAATATCGTCGCTGTCAGAAAACCGCCACTTCACGGCCTTATGACATAAATATCTATTTTTACATAACTCCGACATTTTTTGGAATAACTTTGAAACGGTTCTACCGATCAATTTCAAAAACTAATCAGCTCTTAACATAAAAAACCACGTCGATCGCCGCCAACCGCGTAAAAATCGGTTCATTCATTCAAAAGTTATTGCGGTTTAAAAATTTGAAAAATTGTGTTTTATCAAACTTCTATCAGACTAATGAGTTCGAGAGCTCAAAAACATCATTAGTGCAATTTTAGCACCTAGGTATGAAATGAGCGGGAAGTTGCACTGATTGCCTTCAGGGTCTACCGTTTTTCTAATTTTTTTTTTTTTTTCAAAATTTCGCGTTCTTCGATATTTTGTAAATATTTCGGAAAATTTTTAGTTTTAAAAATTATAATTAATACCAATCTATACGTTTCAACCATCCAAAGTACTTAACTTATAAGTAGAAAGAAAAAAAATTATATTTTCACCGTCAATCGACTAATTTGAGTACTTCGGATAGTCACTTACATTAGTGGTGATAAGAAAAAAATTTTGTGCAATAATATACAATTAAATAACTTGTCTTGTAAAAGTAAACAAAAATATATTTTTGCTAATAATAGTTTTTCGAGACGATAATCTACCAAAAAAGAAACTTTAGCTTTTTTTAAGCCCAAAATTTTTTCTGTGGGTACTAAAAACTTATATTAATTCAATAGTTTCAATTATAAACATTTTTCAATTATTGTTTTCTTTGTTTGCTTATAATTTCTAAACAAATTCGAAGCCTCCTTAGCTATTTATTATTAGTATTTTAAACTCACAGTTTAGATTTTAAAATCTTTCAAAATCGGATCTTTTCTGTGGACTACTTAGGGTAGAGCCTAGTTGCTAAGTTAGATGATAAGTTTAAAAATCAAATTCATTACAGGTTTTATAATTGATCATTACCTCAATTGTAATTAGGTGAATAAAAGATATTTGTTACATTGAACGAGTTAAAAAAATGATAGTGTTGATATTCACTAATCTTCTTTAATGTTTCTTATTTGTTTTATGATTTTATTATGAAAAAATATAAGATATTTGATTTTAGTAATTAATTATTACAACTGGAGTAAACAATTAATTTTTTTTACAGTCAAATTTATATACATTTTAATAAACTATTTTTACAGAAATTCTTTCAACTACTGGCATTATTATATGATTGACGACCAGCCAATTCTAGTAAATAACGATCTGGATGATCCAACCAATCATTAGGGCTTAACTTTACAACTCTTTGTTTTTCAACTTCTTGTAATTGCCATTTTTTAACTTCTAATTGTCGTTCTCTGAAAGTGAATACAAACGGAAAGCTCATTTTATACTAAACATAAATTAAATGAATCAAAATATAGTGGTAAAAAGTCAATAATATGATTTAAATGCAAAATAATTAATAATATAATTAAAAATTACCTTGATTTTCGATCGCCACAACCCCACACTTCGATACTTGTAATACGATGAGGAGCACCTTCAAAATTGATTGAGTGAAATGATTGATCGATGTTAATAATAGGATTTCGTGGATCATCTCCAGCTCTTAACCCATAAGGATATCCTCGTATACCAGTGTTTAAGTACAAAATTTTCGATTTTTTCTGAAATATCTTATAAGTAGGATATAATTCTAGAATAACGGAGTCCGCATCACCCCAGTAAAGATGAGACTCTCGCCACTCGACAGCATTACATATGCAATAAGTAGCATGCCCATTACTGCCGTTATCTCCTTTAATAATGACTATCGTTGGGCCGCGATACCCCAACACGTGGTGAAGAAAACGATTAGCCCCTGTCCCATGTTCATCGCTGCTGTAAAGTAAAGTCCAATGGCTTGGACAAGGACTCCTTGATATCGGAAGCGTTTTAGCCATATTATTTTCTGGTGATGAATCTTCAGTCTAAAGGAAAAAAAATTTTTTTATCAACAATAAAACACTCCCACTAGCGTTCACGCTAGTGAAGTGCAAAAAGCCATTTAATAAATTCTATTACTTTAATGTTCATTTCTCAATATTTACGTTTATACAACAGATTGGAAAAATAGTATGTAGAATTCATACCTGAATATATGTGAGTGGTAAGGAGATGGATAATAGCCAAACATGGCTCAATGGTAGTAAGTTCTCAGGCTTATCAAAAAATACGGCTTTTTCTAAAACTGGTGTAACTGATTCCACCCGCAGCTGTAATTCTCCAGTTGATAAAAGTTTTTTACCATAGCGATAGGCAATAGTAAATATATGGACAATTGCTTTATGTACTCCAGAAACTACTCTGGGACAGTGCTGTGACAGCCAATTACTTACATAACATATCGAAAGATTTTCTTTTCCGTGAAACTAAAAACATAATAACAATTTTTAAAAAGTTGTATTTAAAAATAAGCATGCATAAGTATTTCCCAAAATAAATAGTGATAGAATCCGTATTACAAAAATCGTATAATAATTAATAAAAAATGATTTTATTTACGTATGTTCCGCTAAGAAAACATAATAGCTTGATATAAAAATTAAAAAATCATCAATATTAGTCTAAATAATTTCAATAATCGATAGGAACTAGAAATTAAAATACACTTTACCGAGAACATTATTCGAATCAAAGTTATTTGAACAGACAAATACAATTGAAAAATAAGCGTTTCGATTTGAAAAGGTAATGAATGGTTAATAATCATAAAAATACAAAAAAAACGCTATTTTAGTTGTTTTTTTAACTTCTCGCTAAGAAAATTGAAAATTTTCAAAAGTTGGAAAGTTATTGATTTCATACCGTTTTTCGAAAATCAAGTTTTCAACGGATTCGAAACAGTCGAATTTGAGAAATTTCAAAAAAAAATTTTGTTCAAATGTGGTTTTTTTTGGAATAACTTTTAAACGGCTTTACCGATCGATTCCAAAAACTGATCAGCAAAGTATTTTCTCGGAATTACTTCGAAATTCCTAGTTCGATCAATTTAAACTTAAAGATTCTTCATGAGGCTTAAAAAACTGCGTCGAATGCCTTCAACCGCGCGAAAATCGGTTCATTCATTCTAAAGTTATTGCGGTTTGAAAATTCAAAAAATAGTGTTTTATTAAACTTCTACCAGATTTTCGAGCTCGGAGAGCTCAAAAAGACACGAAAATTATATTTTTGAGCGCTTAAGTATGGAATTAGCGGGAAGTTGTAGGGATGGCCTTTAGGGTCAACCGTTTTCCTATTTTTTTTTTTTTTTTTATTCGTAAAATAACGTTTAGATGGAAAGAGAAAGCTCTTTTTTTGTGATTTGGACGTAAATTTTGAGAAGATAAGCTTCGAGTTATATTTTTTACGGTTTATTTTACAATAATTTTTACCCCTTTAATCACAGTTTAAAGTTTAAGCTTAACTTCATGAATACTCGAAAAATTCAGCTTTAAGGAATCTATTTTCATTTCGTATACCGAATGGCCTTTTTTAAATATTATTTTATTGGATATAGTATCAAGTGAGTAATATATTTTAAATCAAATAAAATAATAATAATGATCATTTTAAGTAACAAAAAGTTTAGAGTTTTCTCCAATCTCACAAAATAACATTTATTACTCATTAAGGATTCAAATTACACGCTAGTAAACTGCACACTAACGTTAGCCTAATCACATCTTATCTCATCAAGAACCACTTCTATTCATTTAAGTATTTGTTATTACTACATTTTGAATCTTGTTCTCGTATTTCATAATTATCAAATAATTTTATACACATTTTTACTAAGACATAAGCATTTTAAAAAAACTTCTAGCGCATTTAGTCGCAAATCATATCGACCACTTCTTCATTTTCAAATCCCTATGGTTTGGTTAAAATTAGTCCAAAGGCATAAAAATTGTTAAAATAATATTTCAGTAGTGATTTAAAAGTATAATTATTAGTAATGACAACGACTTAATTTGTATGTTTACTTGACATAATACTTAAAGTAATAATTTAGCCTGGTGTTTACTTACACAAGAAGTAATAACAGTATTAATTGTTTCGAGTATATATGGACAAGTATTTGGTTCACTTTCCGTTGCTGATTGATAAGAAATCATCAATAATTCTTTCAACGTCTCTGGAGTCATATTGCTGTTTTCGTATGAGTGACAGTAAATTTTAACATAAGTATCTAAAATGATTTGATCATTCATCAAAGATAATAACTTCTCAACTTCTTGTTTAAATGTTGATGTTCCTAAGTATTTGGAAGAAACTTTTTGTGATGAAGCAAGGAGATATTTAAATAACCTCGAACCCAATTGCGGATAGTGAGGGAATAAATATTTGACAAATACATTTTCTGAAATACCATGATGAACACTATCTTCATATTCACTATGTTCAGCCAAAATCTGTAAATATAATAGTAAAAAAGTTTTCACCGGGTTAGATAATAATATTATATTATTAAAACCATACTTTGCTCAATTTGTCTATAGGAAGAAAATGTGTCGTAAAATTTTGTTCGATTTCATTACTGGAAGTACTACGGGAAATTGATTTAGATACTTTATTGTTAGTGGTTGTAGCTGAATGAATATGTTTTTGTTCCAATTTATCATTATGTCGAGTTGAATGATTACCCATTTCTTAATTAATTAATTATATTCTTGCACATAGATTGAAGTTCTAAATATTAATTGTTATCTTGATTTCACAAGTCACGTATACAAATAATATTGATAATGCATTAAACGTCATCTAAAATGATTAATAAAATAAATATAAATATCATTATGTAAAAGCAACACGAACGTGGGTTAAAGTAACTGAGAACTAATTAAAATCAGCTGCATTAATATCAAAACACTAGTGAACATTATATTTATTTCAGGAACGCTAGTAAGAGTTAAAGGGGCTCTTATCAAGTATTAGGTTGAACCTCAATTATTAACTTAACTACCAACAATGCCAACGTGTAGAACATTTAAATTGTTGTATAGCCCAAAATTGGCTATAGTAAATTTATAGAGTTCTCTTAATTCGCTCGTTGGAACGCGGTAGGGCGTTCAACTCGCAGTAAATAGATTAAGGCGGGAGAGTAGATTTAAATTCAAATAAGTTAAATTAAATAATATATATATAATAAATTTAAAACACTCAGATTATTTTAGTTTAATTTAGATTTGCCTTGCGCGCTAATCTATTATTTATTATTCAATAAGTTACAAAATAAAAAGTACCGACAATAATTTCGAAAAAGAAAATATTCGCGTGGCGTACTAAAGTCTTGCTTTTTGATAAGTGTCTTCTTATTCCTTAATTTTCGACTCCCTTGGTTGAGATGTTCGTACCTTTGGAGTGGGAGAGGCCCAGAGGGTAGTGAGGGTAGTTGCGCGTGCCTCTACGCTCTCCTCTTCGGCTAGCATCCCTTCTCGAGTTGGGAAAATGGGACCATGTTGAAATGACGTCACGATGACCCTCGATGTTCCCAGGTCATTTGCAGCCCGTCTGGATGTCTGGGTTTTATGACCTAGCCCTGGGTACTCGAGTAATCCCTTTTTTTAGTGAACGTTTTGGAAAATAAGCTTCTTAAAAGATTATGACAATAAAAATTAATAAATAAAGATTTCTGGGTTTCCTCCAGTTTCGTAAAGAACATTATTCTAAGTGACCATTACAATTACAAGCGTAAGTTTATTTTAACAAAGAAATTTTTCTTAGAATGTCTAGACTAATTGCACGGCACTTAAAAGTTTTTATAAGTTTTTCCTTGGGAGTTTCTGGTAATTGTAAATTCGTCTATACCCTAAAATTTATGATAGAAAATTTCCCATACTTAAAAATAAAATTTAAAATAGAAAGGTTTACAATATTTTATTAAAAATGAAACACCCTAATATATTTATAGTGGAAGCTGTTAAAAGTTACCGTAGTTTTGTCTCAATTTCTCATAAAACACTAACAAGAGCGAGAAAGACAACTTGGGTAACTTTTAACAGCTTTCACTATAATTGTGGATGAAATTCGAAATGCGCAGCACAGCACTGAAACGTAATAGCAGTGGTGTTGTTATGCTTCCATCTAGTGGATGTTATTTTTATTTATTGAAAACTTTACTTACTGTAGTTCTTTCGTCCGGGAGTATTAAAATACTCGGTTTCAGCGCGGGAAAGGAATAATTTTAAATAAAAGAGTTCTATTTAGACTTTATTTAGTTTTGATCAAAATTATTTAGTTGGTTTCAATTTATTATTCAAGTTGACAAAGTATTAAAAAGTTTCAAAATATAAAATTGAGGTTTACAATGACGTGATCTTAGCAATCTAAGCTCTCGATGAGAAGTGTCAAACTCCGTTCTTCTCCCACCATAACTCCCATACATATATCCACTCTTGTACATATATAAGTACACATATTTCTACTACATATAAATGATTTTCACACTAATATATAATATTTTCTATTATATTTACATACATTTATTTATAAATTATATATATTGCAGTTGATTAATATTCGTATTTTGCAAATTAGATTAAGCTTATTACTATTTCTATCAATCTATAATTTATTAAAACTATGAAATAGTTTAATTGTTAATGTAAGAGATAAATATCATTTAATAATATTATTTTATAAAATCTTATTCTTTTAACATTAATTAATAATTATTTATAGGTTGGATACAGGATATAAATTGTTAATTTAATTTTTATATATTTCGTTGCAATATTATATTAAAGCAAGTTTAACAAAAATATGTTATTCAACGATCTTATTCTTTGTAACATATTTGTTACGTTATTATTTAGCCGTTGAAACAAGGGATCATAGAATTTTTCTCACACGTGTCTTTTATGGCTTTTCCTCAGAATCTCAAGTACCTAAGGTTTCTCAGAACTCAACTACAATGTCCCTTTGTACTCGACAATAGCTTACATTTATTTGAAACAAAATATACTCTATAAAATAAATATTCAGCGATACAGAACCTAAACTTTCTAATTTGAACAGTGTTCACTATTTAAATTATGAATTAATAAAATAATTTAATATAATCTAAATTACATTTAAATTTGCACTTCACTGCTGGTAGCGTCATCTGCTGGATGCATTTAGAGGCATTAGTGTAAGGTACAGTGCATCAGTGGCGTATTTCGGCGCGAAATTTGAAAATCAAAATAAAAATTTTTCTGCTTAGTTTTTTTTTTGAAGTTATACTTCTTTAGGCGCGTTATGAAAAAATGATGAGAGTGAAATTTTAAGATGCGCGCGCATCTGTGACACAAAATTAACAGTATGAAGCTGTCTGCTTAACCGCTCATTAAGTCTCGAAAAAAAAAAAGCTACCAACAAAATAGAAATTGAACCTCGATATTAGTCGCGCATGTTGGTACGCTCGTCACCTCTGATCACTGTTTTCATATTTATAATATTTATCAACATGTTTCTAATTTATACATTCACAACACGTGTTTTAGTTTCATACAAGTGCGAATTATATATGTGCTAATAAATTATATTCAGTAGTGATTTAAATTGAATATTTTGATTAATATTACTTACTAATTGTGAATATTAGTGAAAAAAATTGTGCTTATATACTTTTTCAAGTGCTCCAATATAATTGAGGTTAACTATCCGTATGTATTATTTATTGATATAAATTAAAATACTTTTATTTAATATAATTAACACTAAATATTATTAAATTATTAATGTTAAATACTTATTATTGGTTATTTTAATATTTACAAAATAAAGAAATAAATTTAATAAAACATTTAATAAAAAGTTTGTGATAAAAATTAAAATTGAACATCAAATTATAATATTAATTTTTAATATTTGCTAATAAATTGAATAAATAATAAATATTTATAAAAATAACTAAATAAATTTAATGAAAATTTTTTGATAAAAATGAAAAGTAATTATTAAATTAAGAAATCAATAAAAATATTTAAAAAATGACCAACCTTAAATTCAATTTTCGAATTTATTATTAAATTTATTTTTAAAATATTAAATAATCAATAGTAAACATTTAAAATTAAGAATCTTATAATATTTAGTACAAATTATGTCTTATATATTTATTATTCTCTAAAATATCCGAATTGTCACCACAATTATCCGAATGCGCCTCAATCATTATAATCTTAACTCGAGCCTTCACAGAAAGAAATTCATTGATTCAGCTGAGTGTCCATGTGGATCCCCCGAACAAGACCTCAACCACATCTTCTTCGAATGCCCAACCTACCAAAACCAAAGAAGAACATTAAACAACATACTGGCCAAAATTTGTGATCCTGTCCCGACCGACATCATCACTCTCCTGGCCACTCCTACGTCTAAAATATCATACATACTCTGTAACTTCCTCACGAAGTGTGACCTCAACATTTAAATTCAAATTAGTACAGATCGAGACACCGAGACACCTACCGAAGACCCCCAGAAACTACAAACTCACAACTACTCCACCATCAAGTACAGCGGCCGAATGGGAAAATACCCAGAGCCTAAAGAATACTAAGAATACTACTACTACCCTGATAGCCAGCGCTTTCTCAGTAAGCGTTGACTTCCAGCAGTTACGGTTAATTTATACATCAAGTTGGCGGTAATTCTTCACTCAACAACAGTTGTAAGCAAATTGACGGAAATCTATGGCCGCAACTTGAATACAAGTTAGCAATCAAACTTGTAGTTAAATTTCCTTTCAACTTTACTACAATTTGACGGAAATACTTGTACAGCAAGTTTTGACGTCTATTTGGAGAGTAAGTTATAGGTAACTAATAGGTAATCGCTCGCTTTGCCAACTCTTACCGACAAGTTTGCTTCAAATTGCGAACGTAGATTGAGAGTAAGTTATAGGTAAGGTGGCTATCAGGGTACTATCATAAGCCACTGATAACTGAAGTTCCGATTCAGACATTACCGGAAGATACTATGGAAGTGGACATCATTTAATTAAAAATACAATTCGAATAATAAGACAATTTATGTTAGACTTAATGTAAGAAAATAAATATTTATTTATTTAATTTTTCAAATTTAAACTGAACTTTGTTGATTATCCTTTTCCAATCCTTCTAAAATTTTATTGTAATTAATTATTTGCATGCAATTAAAAACTATTTTTTAATGATGCCAAAGAAGTATAACTTCTCACGCGCGTACATAAGTACACGCACCCATTTTTTTACTTTAATTATTTAGAAATAATTGATATATTTTATATGACACGTACGAATTACTGATTAAAAAAAATATTTTTAACTTAACTAAAAATAACAAATTTATTCATATTTCATCAATTAAAAGTGAACAATCGCCGTATTGAGACAATCTCAGAACCGTAGAAAATATTTAAAAAATATTATTGAGGGAGAAATCCCGGAATGAGTTAAATATAGAATCACCAAAAATGTTAAAAAAAATCTCAATATTTCGTACAAGTTAAACTTTGACCTTAAATAAGTTTTGAAGGATTAAATTTATCGAAAAATCGTAAGAACCCATTTTTGTAGAGCGTTATAATTTCTGCAAAAATATCCTTACACATTATCTGTATGATATTTGATTAATGAGGTACAAAAATCAAGAGCAAAAGAATTTTTTCCTATGTTATATTTATGGAAAATCGATGTGCAATAAGAAACCTCTTATTATAAAAATTAAAAGCTCATTTTTTCACAGGCTCATTTTTATGCTTAAGGTAGTTCTTTCCCAACCTATAGTTTATGCTACTGCTGTCTTCGTCACGCGCTAGTGTTGCCTCTCTTACGGGCTATTGCTCACTTACTTCCACGCATGACTTTATTTGTTTACTTTACTAGTTTATCAATGATTTCTCAAAAACTATGTGGTGGAGAATTCCAGAATTTTGTAGGGTAATTATACATGTATTAATCTAAGTAATATTAGTTTTTCGTGAAATTCTTAAAATTTCTTCAATACAAAAATAATAAAACTCGCGGTTTTCTCTCTCTTTTCCCATACCGCCTGTGTAAAAATGTCATTTTCAATTGCAATTATCTTCGGTTAGACGTGGTGAATCGTCTCTAAATTTTAACAGTGTGTGTATTATGTATTTAACTACTTCTATACGGAGTTTGGGAGATTTCTTGAATTTTTGCTTAAAGGGCCGAACTACCTTAAGCGAAACATTTGAGCCTGTTTCCGAGAAAAAATAAAAAAAAACGATTTTTTTTTTTAATCATCTTAATAGATGTACTGATAATGTTGACTCTATCTTAGAAAAAAATTTATCTCTGATTGAAAATTCATTAGGGCGTCAAGATATTTCAAGTCAATCAAGTCAGTCAAGATTTAATCAAGTCAATTTCGAGATCGTCTCATCGAAAAACACTCTGTTAACAGTTACATGTCTATCCAAATTTAAAAAATTTCTTGAAAAATTCACATTAATTATCATATTATATTTCATTTTTTGATAGAAATTGAGTATGAATTATTAAATTTAGTTTTTTATTTATATACCAATCACCAAAATAAAATAAAGATAATTTTGATTTATCAATAATTGTTTATTCATTAATAAAATACATATTAATCATCAATTTAATAATTATTATTTGTATCGAATAATATAAAAATAGAATAAAAAATAAATGTGAGTATAATAAATATTGTCTGAAAATTGCACAGATACATTTATGATATTGCAGAATCATTTTAGTAAAAATTAATTAGGGAAAATCGATTTCTTCTTTTTTTGAAAAAAGGGTGGAATTTTTATTTGTAAAACTATAAGCTATGAATTCTACTTTGATGATTTCATTAAAATTGGGTAACACTTGTTGATCATTTCACCCCGACACGCGGACACAAATAAAGACTCTCATAACTATATGAGTTTTGCACGAACTTTTAAGTTGACACAAAATTGTGAAAGGATTGGCTGATGTTGGTAATCCCGTGCAATTTTCTCTTTTAGAATGATTTTTAAGATAATTGCATTAACAATAACTAATCACCAAAAAAATTTCAGGAATATAGTTTACATGAGCCATATATTTTTTTAAATGAGATAGCTGAAATTTGAAGTCAAGTCTAAAAGAAAATTAATGTTTTTGAAATAAACAAACATGTAGAAATTTGAGAAAAACTATAAATGCAATTTTGTAAAATGTATTCTTAATACTAATTAAAAAAAACCGGCTATTCTTCCAAAAGTAGCTCCGCCACTTTTACAATTTTCCTGTAACTTTTCAGAAAAATTATTTATATAATTACAAACAACGCCTCATAAACATGTGAGTCACTTTCAAAAAAATAGTCATATAATCGAAAAATAGTCAGACGTCTGCTGACCAATATTTTAAGAATTGATCTTATTTCTGCAACAGAACACCTTCATTAATTTCATTTTTGTTGAAAAATCGATTTTTAAACCTTTGTAGTCTGTAAGGTATTGCACTAACAATGTAAATTTATCAGAATTTTTTAAAATAGCTTTTTAGTGTTCTAAAAGATTACCATTTAACATTCGTTTGTAAATCAAACTGGGGCAAAGCTACACGTCATTATATGCTCATTTTGAATGAAATTGAACTATTGAGTTTTGTAAGTCTTTAATTTTCAAAAAGCCTCTAGAGTTCAGTTCAAACTTTTTTTGCGATTTAAATGATCGGATTTTGAAGATCGAAAAAAAAAATATCCAAAAATAAAAGATATTTATAAATAGATAATAAATTTTCCGGGTTCCCATCCGGACGGAATATTGAAAGATAAATGAATAAATTAATTTTATTGATTCATAGGAGCTAACTCGTGTTGACCATTGGAACTCATGTTGTTACATCCAATTTGGATAAGATTCGATTGTCGCCATTTACCATTTTCACCATTGAGATTTTTATCTTCACAAATACATAAAAATAATGTGTCAATTATCATTTCATAAAGTGAAATGACACAGTGCGCAATGAAAAAAGCAAAAATACATATTATTAAAATAGGCGCTGCATAAAAATGTAATCTAGGGTCTTGTTTCAGAACTAAAAGTCCAATACTTCCTGTGACTGCTGTTACGAAGACCTTTCCCAAAAATAGAATGAAATCTCCGACTCCATTGATGACAGCGAGTTGCAAAGCATTGCTAACAATGGTTGAAAATGCCTGAAATAACATAATAAATAAATAAAAAAAATTAGGACGACGGTTGACCCTTAAGGCCATCCCTGCAACTTCCCGCTCATTTTGTACTTAAGCGCTCAAAATTACACATTACGTTTTTGAACTCTTCGAGCTTAAAAATATGATTTTTGTGTCATTTTGAGCTCTCCGAGCTCAAAACTTTAATAGCAGTTTAATAAAACACAATTTTTTGAATTTTCAAACTGCAATTACTTTTGAATAAATGGACCGATTTTTACGCGATTGGCAGCATCCGACGCAGTTTTTGAAGCCTCATAAAGAATCTTTGAGTATGAATTGATCGAACTAAGAATTTCGGAGTGATTCCGAAAAAACACTTTTTTCGGTTTTCTTTCGACAACAATAACTCACGAAAGATTCAACCGATTTTGACCGGACTGGCAGCAATCGACGTGGTCTTTCGATGTTAAGAGCTGAATAGTTTTTGGAATCGATCGATAAATATGTTTTAATGTTATTCCAAAAAAACCACATTTGAAAAATTTTTTTCCCCTCCGGGCGTAAATCGTCAACTTTAGCCCCGCTGCGCTAAACGAAGTTGCCGCTTTTCGCCTTCGTCGGGGAAAAAATAGTATACACTTCTCGGGAAGTAAATAAGAAAGCCTCAGATCACATGTTTGTCAACCTCGGCTTCGCCTCGGCCTCACATTACATGTGATCTGAGACATCTCTTACTTTACTTCCCTAGGGGTGTAATATACTATTTTTTGTAGTTTTTTCGAGATTTCTCAAAATCTACCGGTCAAAAGTGTATTCAAAATCTAAGTTTGGTCAAGCCCTTTCGAATGGTGCCAACCGCGATACAAAATCGGTCAAGCCGTTCAAAAGTTATAAGAAGTTTACATATGGCCGTAGACATACGGACATCATCACGAAAACATTCAGGGAATCTTCCTAGGACCTCAAAACGTCGAGATCTGATGAAAACTCGATTTTCGAAAAACGGGGTAAAACCAATAACTTCCCGATTTTTGAAAATCTTCGATTTTCTTAGCGGGAAGTTAAAAATGATGTTAATTTTATGAAAATGATGTCAAAAACATATCTAAAACTAATTTACTAGAAATCAAATGTTAATATACATTTGAAATGAATTGAATGATTTTACGTCCATCTAATCTACTTAAAAATTTTTTTTTAATAAGTTAGTTTGAACAGTATTTATGCAAAGTCATCATGAAAGATTCATTTTATTATCTAAGCGGTTTAAACGATTTAGCATGGTTATTACCAGAGGACATTTTAGCATTGGATAGTCTGAAAGTGTAACTTATAAATAATAATGTTAGGTTTACTGCAGCCATATTAGGCGGAAGCAGTTGTGACTGCCACTTATATACGAAATTGTTACCGAAGTAGAGTCATTGGCGGAATTTTTTTAATTTAAAGAAAAATTATATCATTCGAGTGTGGTTTTACCTTCCTTATAAAAATTTAAAATTGAAAAAAAAAAAATAGGAAAGTAGTCGTTGTCAAACGAACTTTTGAATAAAAATCGGGTTTTTCGTCAGATTTGAACGATTTTAAACCTTGACGATTTTGACTATGCTCATATATGGATGGATTCACTTAATTTCAGATTTCTTCAAAATTTTAACCGATTTGGTTCAATACACTGACAAAAAAGTTAACTTGATTCAAGAGAAAAAATTTTGAACCAAGAATACCATTTTGAAGAAAATAATTTTCTTGAGCCAAGAAATAATTCTTGGTTTAAGAATTTTTTCTCTTGACTCAAGAAAATGATTTTATTCAAAATGGTATTCTTGGTTTTCGTGGTTTAAGATTTTCTCCCTTGAGTCAAGTTAACTTTTTTATCAGAGTAGAAAAACCAACATTCATATAAAAAAAGTTAAAGAAGGGTACAGTTATTCACGTTTATTAATTACACTTCATTTTTACGGTCTGTTAGCCGTGTGGTTTGAGTATTCAGTCTGTCTGTATATCAAATCGTCAGACGAGGGTTCGAATCTTCGAGGCGCCGTTTTTTCGGTGATTTCAGCGCTTCAACCGGTAGCTGACTGTATTTTGACCAAATTTTCTGTGGTTTTCCTGGCCACTGTGAGTGAATACTGGTCATAGGCGAAAACGGGTAGAGAAAAAATGTGAGACGGTCACAGCCGCTGCAGTGTGTGACTAAAAAATAATAAACGGAGTCAGAAGGTGGAAACAGAAACCGACAGTCAGATGCAGGAAGGAGAGAGCATGACCTAATAGTTAATAGACTAGCTAATATATGCTGATATTCAGTCTCCAAAAACTGGGTCCTTTTAAAATACGTAAAAGTAATACAAATCAAACCAAATAACAAACTAACTAATAGTTTTGATTTTACGAATTAAAACTTTTTTACCGCTAAAGTTGCAGAAAATCTCTTGAAATTATAATTTTATATTTAAAAATAAATAATTAATACTAACAATTTTAGCAGCTCGACAAAAGCTTGCACCTTCAATAGCGACAACTGTATAAGCATTATGATTGATGTATCTTATAAATTTTTCCAAGCAATAAAAACAGCAAATACAACTTTTTAATCCACATTGTGAACAAACTGAAGTTTCTTTAGTCTTTTCAAATCTACAAGAATGAAAAATAAAAAAAAATGAGTTATTTTTAGATTAATCACTAAATTAATTATTTGTCTCATTCCTTTACTTACTTTTGCTGTAAAAACATTAAAATCAATCGCGGCAACTTAAATAGGGTTATCAAAAATGACCCACAAGCAACGGAACCTAAATGATAGCTAACCAATTTCCCAATCGCAGAGCACACTGGTGACGAGTTTGATTCTTTACCTCTACAAATATGAATATTTCTTAACAATTATGTTTATGATGACATTTACACTTCAATATAATAATAAGAAGTATACCTGAAGTACCAATGAGCAACTGCACCGGAAATTACAAGGTTTTGGCATCCATTAATAAATTCAGATACCCAAATTAATGCTATTATGTATACCCACCACATGTATTTAATCCAAACTGCATCCACGTACTCAACAAGAGTGAGTTCTAAAAATTGAAAAATTTTTATTTATATGTATACATTATTTATGATACTGCAATTCCGCCTAACTAGTATGTTCTGTACGAACTAATTTCCAATCTTATCGAATTTAAAATTAGATCTCACATAGAATTAAGAACTAGTGAAAAAAAAGTACTTGAATATATTACTTGAAATATCTCTAAAAGTTAAATTAGATGTTTGTCTTTCTAGCACTGTATTATAGTCGGATTGTTGATTGATGAGTGTAGGACTTCCAGATGAATTTAACATAAAAATGGATTTATTAGCAGGATGATCTAAAACAATATGTGTATTATTAAGTAGTCAATGTTTTAAATTCGATATGAAACAATGATTAATGACTTACTTGACGTAGCAAGACAAATAATGATGGTAATCCAGAAGGTAAAAAATAACAAAAGAACGCAAAATGTTAATAGCGGTTGCAAAAATAATCCAGGTAATTCTGCTAGACATTTAGCACTTTCTTTAAAAAGAACACCCATAAAACTTATTCGTCGCCGAAGTACACATACAAGTGAAATTATAACGATCGTTACAACTGTAGCAATAATTGAAAATACTAGAAAAGCAGTTTCATTTCTTAAAGATTCTTCAAGTAGTTCAGTTGGGTTCGTAGCATTTATGGTTTTTTTAATATCTGCGTAAGTCCACCATAGTAAACTAGTACCACCTACATAAAATTTAATAAAATATACTTAGCTAATCATAATTATCTATAATTTACAAAACACCAAAAATTTAAGTACTTGAAATTTCTAGATACATACATATACACGCTCCACTAACTAACACCATAACAATCCATGTTACAAAAGTAGCCAGTAAGTGAAAAATTGCTATTGTACATAATGACAATACTAAAAATAAAAAATTAAATTTACAAAATATTTCGATAAAAAATAAACTTACAGAAAATCAAAACATTCAAATTAAACTATTCAACACGACCTATCTTATTTGTGACTGATTATTACCAAAGAGTAAAATTTTATATATGAGTTAAAGTTTTGACCTATTTTCGGTCGAAGACTAGTGGTCCCTGACATGTTATCAGGGAGATCTAGTTTCAATTCCTGGCTTGGTAACCAACCCCATTTATTTTTTCAAAGTCTGTCTTTGCTCTCATTCAATTTTCTTTCACTATCTTTCACTTAATTAACATCCTTATAACTAGAACAGATACCACAAATTTCCAGCTTTACTAGTATTTAAGTTCGATGGGTTCCATCGAACTAATGTGAAGAGAGAATATAGCTCTCGATCAAAAGGGAAGATGAAAGATCCATCTTTGGGCTTAAATTAGAACCACTAGTCTTCGACCGAAAATAGGCCAAAACTTTAACTCATATATATATATAATCAATCGGTCTAAAAAATATCATTCGTAAAATTTTGTTTTATTTGTTATAAAAATTATAGTAATTAATTCAGGTTACAGAAAATCGTGCTCGGTTAATAATTTGTAGATTTTTGAGCCTAAAGAGCTACTTTTTGTATACATACCAAAAGCTAGAACAGATAAGAATAAAATTTCTCTCCATGTTTTGTATAAGTCTCCCAAAATTTGTTCAATAACATCCCAAGAATTAAGTAAGCCATATAAATTATAAACAAGACCAGACGTAACATCTTTAACAATTTTGGGCACACATCGATTTAAAATTGGAGTACTATCGTAAATTGGAGGTTTTGGGCACATCGTTAAGTTATGTTGATTGTTATAATTACAGGCATTAACCCCAAACTTTGGGTCATCAAAACATAATTGTGAGCCAGTATCTTTATAAAATTGACAAATATTATCGATATTTACCATTAAACGATTTGGACATTGTTTCACACAGATTTTGAATGATTGTTTAAGATCATTCATATCAAAGAAAAATAATAATCTGAAAAAAATTTTCATAAATAGATTTTCTTTCCATTCAACGATCAATTTTGTTAAACTAATCAAATCCGAGTTAATAGATAATTCTTACGGCTTATCGCTGTTATCTAAAGCATATAAATCGGATCGTTTGATAGCAGGAGTATTTTTTGTTCCGCAAGTATTTCCAAAGCTATCGTAACCATGGACAAGCCTCATAGGATTACCATACACCAAAGCAAATGCAGCAATCATGATCTACCAAAATAACGATTTTATCAAAAATACAAAAGGATCCAATTTATCAGTTATAATAAACTATATCAATATTGTATCAAATCAGTTTTATTAAATTATTCTACGATTTGTTTTAAATTTGAAAAGTTGAGGTAAAATACGTTTAAGAAGGCAAAATTAAAGATATCATAAATAAAATAAGATTAAAATGCATTTTTACCAAATTTAACTTTCATTCAACGTCTTTAAAAATTTAAGTTTTATGTTCTTGATCTAAATCAATTCTTATGAAAAAACTAAAGATGTATACTTGAAGAAAATTGATAAAACAATAGTTTAATTTGTAATTTATTATTTAAAAAATAATTTGAAGATTATCTGATATCAGCTATAGCATAATTATGGCATAATCATAAAATATTCAAATAGAATCAAAAATAGAAAATGCCTGATAATTTAATTTTTTTTTTTTTTTATTAGAAATAAAATGGAAATGCATAACGACTCGAAAAAAAAAAATGCTAAACAAATTTGAAAAATTGTATTGGTGGTGTATGTTTAAAATATTATCTCACATTTTTCAATAACACAATCTTTGGTATAAATAAAATTTGTAAATATTTACTAATGATGTGTTACAATATTGAATCCATGTCAATTATTATTGATTATCCATAATTTACCATAAGAAACCAAAAACTTATAAACAAACACAACCAAAAAATATCAGTACAACCTCGAACTCTGGGATGTTCGGGTTGTTGTTCATCTTCATCATCTCCATCGCAACACATTTTTGTTATTGTTAACTTATTTTAAATATCAGGTTCATAAATTCTTAAATCTAAGAGTCTATTATTCAACAACTAAGAATTTTAAAATTTAGTTTTATACTGACGATACAGTATCAAACAAATTTCGTTTATACTGGATCATTCTCTTGATGAAAAATACATAATAACAGTGAAGATAGTCAAAGGTGGAAAGAAAGGGGATCTAACTTTTACATAGGGTCGTAGTATAGTATAATCACCAGGCTGGCTATGGTAAACTCAGCTAGTACGTTTAATTGGCCCGTTGGAACAAGGCGGTAGAGCGTTTAATTTTTAATTCGGGGGAATAAGAAAAATAAATACTAATCGCGGGAGAATTTAAGTAATATTTGAATTGAAAAGAAAAATATACTTAGTTAGATTTAAATAACACTCATCCCAAGATAAAATTAAGATGAAATATATGTGAAACCAATTTATTCGTATTGTGATTGGTCAAATATATCATCCCAACATAAAATTGAGATGACATATATATGAAACCAATTTATTCGTAATGTGATTGGTCAAATATATCATAAGCATGAAACATATGGGGCATTCTACGCCAAATCGGATGGTTTTAAAAATTTCAATCTTTAATTTCCGTCATTTTTTTTATATTATTTAGTATTCATCAAAAAACTTACCTTCCTAAATTTTAAGATTTTTTTGATCATTGGTTCAAAAGATATGGAATTTAAAAAAAAACCGCTCTCTTCATGAAGATGAATTTTTTGATGAGTACTAAATAATATCAAAAAATGACGGAAATTAAAAATTAAAATTTTTAAAACCGTCCGATTTGGCGTGGAATGCCCCATATATATATAATTCCATACTAATATTTAGACGCGCGCACGTTAAATCTAGTCGGCTGCCCAATTTTAAAACACAGTAACTGCAAAATTTTTATATCTACTTTTTTTTTAATCTGCTTCATTTTTTTAAATTACTTTTAGACCTTAATTTCAAATATTTTTTCTTAAAAATATTTATATTCAAGTATTTTCTATTCATAAATAAAATTTTTCATCAATTTGGCAGGCAAACTTTTTTTTAATAAAAAAAATTTTTTTTAATTTCTAAATGTTAGTTACTGTATTTTGAAATTGGGCAGCCGTAGTGTATATGTAATTCGAATTTAAAATTGTACCAACTTTGCAAAAACCCATCATTATGCACAAACAACTTGAATCGATTCAACTCTTCACGCATCTCTGTCAAAATAGAATAAATATTTATTGAGAGCGGAGAGCGGATAGTATCGGTCATAAAATGTTATCTTTTACGACTAGGCAGTAGTAAATGAATTTTCTGAAATTTTATTTTTCTCATTACTTTTTGAAAAAATTGTTAAGTAAACTATTATAAAGCTTTCGCAATAGCTGGTCATATGTTATTTTTTAGAAACTTAAATTTATTTGATTTTCAAATTTATTTAAGACGTAATTAGAAATATAAAATTTCTGAAAATATATTTACTACGGCATACTCTCAACGGAGCTTGACTATCAAATTTTTGTTGCTACCGATGACCCAAAAACAAGATAGCGGGGGTGAAAATATGCGGTTATAGAATTTGACAAGTTTACAAATGCATTTTTGTTCCTTTTTAATCTTATAATAAATCCTCTCAAAAGTTTTGAAGATAAACTTTTTTGCTCTTTTGAAACTTCGATTAGTTATCGAATAATCGAGACATAACTCTGAAACTTTAGACAGATGTTACTTACTAAAATTTGATTTCGACTTTCTAAGTAAAGTAACTGTTACTTGAAAGGTAAAAAGCTATTTTGTCACTACACGAATTATTTTTATTTAAGAATCGTTCCTATTCGTTTCTATATTCGCACTCGATGTTGCACTTGTACAAAAATAAATGAAAACTTAAAAATTTAATTTCTCGTTATCAAATGGAAATAAAAAAAAACGCTCTATTTGGAAATAGATTTATAAATATTTGATCGTATGTGAGAGCATTTTTTGGAAATTTTTATTTTTTTAAAGAAAATTTATGAAATTGCAATGCCAGGAAACGTCTCTTGATTTATTAATATTATACCAAAAATCAGATACAGAAATTTATAAATATGAAGTTCTTCCTAACTTATAAGTATATAGTTTCTGAAGGCACTTATAGAAAAACTTATAAAAAACCAATTTTTTCATTTTTTACTTTCGTAATTAATCACTTGGAAATAATTGAGGCTTTCTTATTTACTTCCCGTGGAGTGTATACTATTTTTTTGCTCGACGAAGGCAGAAAGCGGCACTTTCGTTTAGCGCAGCGGGCCGAAAGTTGACGCTTTCTGCCCGTCGAGCAAAAAATTAATTTACTATATTATCATAATAAAATTTTAATTTTATTCGTTAGTAACATGGTCTTTATTATTTCAAGGATTTTTTTTTTATATACAAGTATGAGATATAGAACAATGAAAGTTAACTAAAACAACGTTTATGATTTTTATAAATTCAGTAATTGTACGGCAATAACTTATTTATTTATTTCTTATTATCAATGAGAACGATTTATATAATCAACCCCTCGTAGCGTCACTTCCCTTAAAAAAATTTCAAAAGCACGAGATTACGTTACTTTATTTAAATTTTATGTTCTATAGTTATATCTTATAAGTTACTAGAATTTAATTTTCGTGCGCAAGTGCGCGCCTCATATTTGTTGTTGTAATGCCTCTAAATGCATCCGGCAGATGACGCTACCAGCCAGTGAAGTGTGGCGGTCCTGTTGCTTCTCTCACGTCTCAGCGGCCTTACACCGAACCAAAAATACCTCAGCACCACCAACGACGAGAGAAAACATTACAGTCATTCCCGCCTACAAATTATGATTATTATAATATTAACCAACCGACATTACGCGCTACAGCTGTAGCTTACTAAAGGCCTATTTATTTAAAATGTAATTATTTAAAATAAGTGTTTGTTTAGAATAAAGTTTATCAGACCACGAATTTACTGATCATCATTTTATTTATTAGTAGTAGTAAAAAACCGCTACAGAAGTGCAAATTCAAATGTAATTTAGATTATAGTAAATTATTTTATTAATTCATAATTTAAATAAGTAGTGAACACTGTCCAAATTAAAAAGTTTAGGTTCTGTATCGTATAATATTTATTTTATACAGTATATTTTGTTTCAAATAAATGTAAGCTATTATCGAGTACAAAGGGACATTGTAGTTGAGTTCTGAGAAACCTTAGGTATTTGAGATTCTGAGGAAAAGCCATAAAAGACACGTGTGAGGAAAATTCTATGATCCCTTGTTTCAACGGCTAAATAATAACGTAACAAATATCTAACAAAGAATAAGATCGTTAAATAACATATTTTTGTTAAACTTGCTTTAATATAATATTGCAACGAAATATATAAAAATTAAATTAACAATTTATATCCTGTATCCAACTTATAAATAATTATTAATTAATGTTAAAAGAATAAGATTTTATAAAATAATATTATTAAATGATATTTATCTCTTACATTAACAATTAAACTATTTCAATAATTTTAATAGATTATAGATTAATAGAAATAGTAATAAACTAAATCTCATTTGCAAAATACGAATATTAATGCACTGCAAGATATAATTTATAAATAAATATATATGAATATAATAGAAAATATTATATATTAGTGTGTAAAAATCTTTTATATGTAGTAGAAATATGTGTACTTATATATGTACAAGAGCGGATATATGTATGGGAGTTATGGTGGGAGAAGAACGGAGTTTGACACTTCTCATCGAGAGCTTAGATTGCTAAGATCACGTCATTGTAAACCTCAATTTTATATTTTGAAACTTTTTAATACTTTGTCAACTTGAATAATAAATTGAAACCAACTAAATAATTTTGATCAAAACTAAATAAAGTCTAAATAGAACTCTTTTATTTAAAATTATTCCTTTCCCGCGCTGAAACCGAGTATTTTAATACTCCCGGGCGAAAGAACTACAGTAAGTAAAGTTTTGAATAAATAAAAATAACATCCACTAGATGGAAGCATAACATTGTCATGATATATTTATGTGTCGTTCATGTATATTATATTCACTTTCAACCAATCAGAATGAGAATAAATATTTTCAACCAATCACATTACGAATAAATTGGTTTCACATACATTTAATCTCAATTTTATTATGGGACTAGAATTTGAATTTACGCGCGCAAGCGCGCGCCTTGACTATAGAGTTTGCATATATTTTTATGCTTATGATATATTCAACCAATCACGTTACGAATAGTTTGATGCCACATACATTTCATCTCAATTTTATTATGGGACTAGAATTTGAATTTACGCGCGCAAGCGCGCGCCTTGACTATAGAGTTTGCATATATTTTCATGCTTATGATATATTCAACCAATCACGTTACGAATAGTTTGATGCCACATACATTTCATCTCTATTTTATATTAGGATATTAGGATTATGGGATTGTGGGATTATTATGGCATATGGGATCATCATCTCAATTTTATTATGGAATACATTTTTCAACTCGAGAGTTGCCGAATGGGAAATCTCCCAGTGTCAATAGCAATAATAACTCAAGAGTTCAAATTTAAAGGTTCTTTCTGAATAATATAATGTGTACTCTGATGAAGTACAATTATTATATAAGTAATAAATCCATTCTATTTTTAGAATACATTTTTTTATAAATCTTCAATCATTCTACGTTAATACGTTTACATATTTTTCTGTAGTAATTAAGGGTGGACAGAGCTGAATGTATTTTTAGTTAGTCATATGTTGTATGTTATTTTTCGGAAACTTTATCTTATTCGATTTCCAGATTTATTTCCGGCGTAATTTGAAAAATAAATTTTCTCCAGATTTTTTTATTCTGCCTATAGACAACTCATATTCAATTCAAAGAATCGAAACTTAAATTCCCAGAATCAGATTGACGATATTTTTAAGCGAATCTTAAAACCTTTCCACTGCTTTTCTGTAAGAAATGGTAAGAAGTCAAAGAACGAAAAATTTGGAGAGACTTCGATCATCATGTATTTTTTTTCCACGGCATTCTCTTTAGTACTCTACGATTGCGGTAAAATGTCCACAAAATCAAACTCTGTGGAGCGTGAAACTTAGAAGTTACAGTTGTAGAGCAACAGAAAGAATGATAATTTTAAAAAGAAAAGATTAGAATAAATGCTTTCTTTAGTATTTAGGCTAAGCCATAGTAAATGTATTTTCTGAAATTTGATATTTCTAATTGCTTTTAGAAAAAATTGTTAAATGAACTATTATAAAGCTTCCACGATAGCTAGTCGTATGTTACTTTTCGTAAATTTCATTTTATTTGATTTTAAAATTTATTTAAGACGTAATTAGAAAAGTAAAATTTCTAAGAATTCATTTTCTACGGCCTACCTTTAAAGAGCGGGAATTGAACTTATGAAGATTTTGTCGTAGTATGCACTATAATAAATTAAATTTTGATTGTTATAGATTAATAAATGAGTAAATGGATGTATATATGTTGTTTATCCCATAAGGATCCTATAACATCATTAATTATCAGTTAGTTTATTTTTTTTTTAATTAATTTTTATTTATGTCTAAATAAAATTCATGTAATTGATGCAAAAGTTTAAATAAAATAATAAAAAAACTTCATCAACAGTTATTACATAGATTAAAATTTTTTAACTGTTGGCTTCTATCAGTAGATATATCTCCAAATATCTTAAGTATTTTTACTCAAAATTTTAGTCTAACAATATATTATTTAATTAATAATAGTATACTCATTGTCTAAATGTTTTAAATTTAAGTGGTGAAAAAAGATAGATAAAAATAAATACGGTATTTTACTTAGCGATTGGTTTCTATATATCTCATCATGTATTTCATATATTTATTTATTTATTTATATTTTATTTTGTCGAAATTTATTCGTTTGGACCTCTATTTATCGTAAATAGGAGACCGGAAGATGCACGAAAAAAATACACGAAGTATATTTATATATAACAAAAACCGAAAACACCCGAAAGATTCAATTCCTTTGACCTTTCTTGAAACTTAGATGACCTTCACTCTTTAAAATCCGAAGATCAGTCGTGGCGCATACACACGTATTTTTATCTATCAAACACTGCCAAGTTGACAAAGTTTTAATTAAGCACTTTTTATTCTATTTAAGGTATGTATATTTTGCTGAAGATTTATATTTTGTTGTTTATTTGTATTCTATTAATAATAATAAACAGCTTCAATGAAAATTTTTTGTTATTATTTAACAAATTAATATTTATATCTTTTAATTCATGTGTCAAAGATTTGATCTTACAAGAACTTGTGATAATTTTTGTTTTATAATTGTTTTCTTTATCATTAAATATTAAGTATTATAAATTACGATCTATCTTTCATTACAACGGTTGAGTTACTATCTACTCTAAACATAAATCAATTATTTAAATGAACAATTACTATCATACTAAACAACAATTTTTCTCAGTAATTCACTAAATAATTGCGTAATACTTATAGTAAATTTAATTATTACCAAAATGTGATTATATAAATTATCAATTTAATTTCTCGATCAATTATCAATGTCAAAGGTTATTTCAGCTGGGTGTCACGAATCCTATTACTTTCCGATGCTTTAATTATCTATAAACCTTAAATTTTTTAATTATTATATTTAATAACTTACAGAGTAAAAAATGTCTCGAGAACGAGCTTCTCGGCGATTTTACAGAATGGATAGTTCGCACGATCTATCTGTTTATATGGATCGAGGGCATAATGCTGAGCAAGAAAATCGGTGGAGTTTTGAAGTAGCTTGGGAAGTTGCTAATAAAGGTTTGATACTCAACTGTGTACTTATTTTTTATGATCCATACATCAAAGCTTGCAATATTTTTTCTTTTTATTATAGTTGGCGGTATTTATACTGTAATTAGATCAAAAGCTTATGTGTCAACTGAAGAATTGGGGGATCAGTATTGTATGATGGGACCTTACAAGGAACAATCTGCTAGGACTGAAGTGGAACAAGCTGAATTTCCCCATCATAGTCCCTTGAAAAAAGCTGTCGAAGTATTGAGAGATCAAGGATTTAAAGTATAATTTATTATTATTATTATTATTATTACTATTATTATTATTGATAAATGAATTTAAGCAATGAAAAAATACATATGACTTGGATCAATGAATACAGGTAGTGACTGGTACTTGGCTTGTTGATGGGAACCCTCAAGTAATTTTATTTGACATCGGAAGTGCAGCATGGAAACTAGATGAATACAAGTCAGAATTATGGAATACTTGCAATCTAGGTATTCCACATTTAGATATTGAAGCTAATGATGCTGTTATACTGGGATATCTTGTATGTCAATTTATAACTGAATTCAGGTAAGATAAAATTCGTTAAAATTTATTATATTGTAATTTTTACAGTAATTTTAATGGATTATTAAATTGACATTGATAAATAAATTTAGAAAAGCTGCTGAAGAGAGTTCCAGTGTACAGCCAAGAGTTTTGATCCATTGCCATGAGTGGCAAGCCGGTCTTGGATTAGTTGCCTTGAGAACAAGACATGTTGATGTTGCGACTATTTTCACTACTCATGCAACGCTCTTAGGCAGATACCTTTGTGCTGGGAAAACTGATTTTTACAATAACTTGGATAAGGTAAACTTTAAATGATAAAGATGGATGGGGATATTCTTTACGTATTTATAATTATAAAAAAAATTTCCAGTTTAATGTTGATGAAGAAGCTGGAAAACGTCAAATCTATCATCGATATTGTATGGAACGAGCAGCGGCTCACCTTTGTCATATATTTACAACTGTTTCGGATATTACTGGCATTGAAGCTGAACATTTACTCAAACGTAAACCAGATATTATCACACCAAATGGTTTGAATGTTAAAAAATTTTCAGCTCTTCATGAGTTTCAAAATTTACATGCTGTTAGCAAAGAGAAAATTCACGAATTTGTCCGAGGTCATTTCTATGGGTGTGTATTAAAAAAAAAAAAAAAAAAAAAAAAAAAAAAAAAAACCCTAATTAATAATAAAAATAAATTATTATTTCAGTCATTTTGACTTTGATCTGGATAAAACTTTATATTTTTTCACTGCTGGACGTTACGAATTCGGGAATAAAGGAGCTGATATTTTTATAGAAGCTTTAGCCAGACTAAATCATTATTTGAAAACCTCAAAACCAGATATTACTGTGGTTGCATTTTTAATTTTTCCCGCACGTACAAATAATTTTAACGTTGAATCTCTACGCGGCCATGCGGTAAGTATTTTAATAATTCTAGGTTTGATGTAAACAACTTGTGCTTTAATCTTATGAAATCAAATTTTTCCAGGTGACTAAATCATTAAGAGACACTATCCATGTCATTCAACAAAATGTTGGCAAACGTATGTATGAATCTTGTCTTTCCGGAAGATTACCTGATGCAATGGATATGCTATTGAAAGATGAAATTATAAAAATTAAATGGTAAAAGTTGATTTACTATAAATCTAAAAAATTATTTAAACATTATTAAAAACTTTTTACAGTTGCCTATATGCTTTACAACGAAGTGGTCTACCCCCAGTTACGACTCATAATGTTGTTGATGATTGGAATGATCCAATTTTAAATACAATAAGAAGGTGTAATTTATTCAATACGGTCCATGATCGAGTTAAAGTAATATTTCTAAAAATGTGACGAACAAAATTAAAAAAAAAATTTTAACAAAATATTTCTTACTTATAGATTGTATTTCATCCAGAGTTTTTATCTTCTACGAATCCACTTTTTGGACTTGATTATGAAGAATTTGTTCGAGGATGTCATTTAGGAGTTTTTCCATCATATTACGAACCATGGGGGTATACTCCAGCTGAATGTACAGTTATGGGAATTCCAAGTATAACAACAAATTTATCTGGATTTGGTTGTTTTATGCAAGAACATATCGCTGATCCCATGAGTTATGGAATTTATATTGTCGATCGTCATTTTATTGATGTTGAATCTAGCGTTCAACAATTAGCCAATTACATGTTTGATTTTGCTCGACTTAGTCGACGGCAGCGAATTATTCAGAGAAATCGTACCGAACGTTTAAGTGACATGCTTGATTGGCGAAATCTTGGCATTGTAGATATTTTTTTATTTTCATCATTCAAGTAATGAAAGAAAAAAACTAACCAAATGTTTATTTAATTTTAGTATTATCGGCAAGCAAGAATGAAAGCATTAGTAAAAGTTTATCCAGAATTTACATCAGAACTGGATGATACTAGTGTTGGTCGATTTAACTATCCAAGACCGTTTAGCGAGCCTCCATCACCATCTTCATCTCGCATTACTACACCTGCAGCTTCAGTCCATGGTTCTGACGAAGAGGATGAAGTCGATGATGAAAAAGAGGTGCGGATTTATTGTTAATAGTTTATACAGTAAAATTTCTATTTAGTTGTGCAAGTTATGTTTTTTACTTTTCTCAAAACATAACTATAAAACTTTATAGAAATTTAAGCGTGTTGGATAATTAATAATTTGATTTAATGGTTTTTCAGCTTGAAGAATTAAGACAAGCAAATGGCAGATAAGGTCATTGTTTTTTTTTTTTTTAAGTGATAATACTAAAAAAATCGATAACATCCACGAAAATAATAATTTAAAATAAATACTTTATTAGTAAGAAACTTATACTATCATATTTAATTTTTTAGATATAAACTACTGCTACAATTTTTAATAGATATTAGTTAATAGATTTTTTTTTTTTTTCATTATTTTGTTTTTTCACCTTTCAAGTAAAATTGAGATAAAATTTATTGAATGTCTTTTTTTATAGATTTTGATTTTGAGTCAAATATATGAATTTAAAAGATTGTTTTATTATAAAAAAATTATAGGACGTTTATTATCAGAGGCATCTATAAGAGATTTTTAATGATTATTGTTAAAATTTCTTGTGATAATCTATGAGTACAATATAAAAGTTTATACTGATGTTATGAAAAAATAAATTATATTTTTACTCAAAAAACGAAGTAATCCATAGTACACAAAATAAATATATCAAAAATAATTACCGATCAATGTATGTTGCTTTTTCATTCAGAAAATACTCTTCATTTCGTAGCGCAATCAAACTTTGTATAGTTACTAGGATAATTTAAATAACTTTTTTTTTTTTTTATGATTTTAAGTTACTTTCAAATGTGAAAAAAATTCTCTCGCTCTCTCTCGAAAAAGAAAAACGAAATTTTATATTTATGTAACAGACGAACAAATTTAATCTTCTTTAAATAAAACTACCATAAAAATGCATTTTTATGAAAATTGATTCTCTATAAAAAAAATTAGAAAAACGGTTCACCCTAAAGACCATCCCTGCAACTTCCCGCTAATTCCATACCTGGGCGCTTAAAATTGTACTTATGACATTTTTGAAGTTTTTGAGTTCAAAATATAATTTATGAGATATTTTGAGCTCGCTGAGTTCAAAGAGATAATATTTCTATGCATTTGAGCTCTCCCAGCTCAAAAGTCTGATAGAAGTTTCATAGAACGCTATTTTTGGAATTTTCAAACCGCAATAACTTTTGAATGAATGAACCGATTTTTACGCAGTTGGCGGCATTCTACGCAGTTTTTTAAGCCTCATAAAGAATTCTTAAGTTTCAATTGGTTAAATTAGAAATTTCGGAGTAATTCCGAAAAAACACTTTTTTCATTTTTTTTTCGGTTTTTTTTCGTTCACGATATCTCTTGAACGAATCAACCGATTTTGACCGGATTGGCGGCAATCGACGTGGTTTTTTAAGGTTGAGAGCTGATTAGTTTTTGAAATCGATCGGTAGAGCCGTTTAAAAGTTATTCCAAAAAAACCACTTCTGAAAAAAATTTTTTTCCTATTTTTTTGGAGATTTCTCTAAATTTCTCAAAATCTATCAGTCCGAATCGGTTCAAATTTTCAGGAAATCTAAGTTTAGTGAAGCCCTTTCGAATGGCACCAACAGCGATGAAATCGGTTCAACCGTTCAAAAGTTATAAGAGGTTTACATACTTACACATAC